ATATTACAGGTTTGGATCAATCAGGGCGATATAATATTGGTCGGCTTGCGTGACTATCAGGACTCAAAGGCTGATGTCATTTTGAAGTACACACCAGATGAAGCTCGAAATCTGAAGACTTACGGSGAGTTTCCGGAATCGGTCCGCATCAATGAGACAGTCACATTCGTCGAGGATGGCTTCGATGAGGATATTGAGTTCGGTGATGAGATTAGTTCGGAGGACGATGCTGATTCCGTAGACAACATCTGATCCAAAAAGAATCAAGCAGCAGCAGCTGAAGACGAAGCTGTAGAGTCTGTTCAAGAATAGGGAAAATAAACAAATTTGTAAAAAGCCGAAAGTCTCCCCTGACACCAGCGTCCACCCACAGCAATCAACAACGCCACCCACAGCAACCACACACACATACACACACATCCCCCACATGCAAACAGCAAGCAGATCAGTTACAACTGGCAATCGATATATGGAGGACACAAACGAATCCATTAAAACAGCAATAAACCCTTACAAATGAAGCGTTCCTTTTTATAAATTTCAAAGTTCTTTTTTCAAATTTGGATGCCAAACTCAAATCTAACGTTTTCATACGCAATGTTCAATTTCGAAATGATGTTAAACAAATAGTAGAACTTTTATAAAACAAATGAAAAACAAAAACAAATAATGCAACAATGCGAAACACAAACAACTTATTATTATTTCAATTAAAAAACAAACAAAAACGAAAACAAACGATATTAGTAACTTATTTAAAACAAATAAAAGTAAAACAAACAAAAAGCAGCTACATTTATATATACATAAATATATATATATATAGATGTTTAACTACAGATTGTAAGCAACACAACAAAGAAAATATGTAGAAAAACGTTAAAATTGCATAGCTAGAGAGTAAGGTAAACTAGAAACCAGAGAGTTTTCCACTTTTCCGCTTAAAAACTTGTTCATTTCAGTTCCTTCGTCTTATTGTTTACGATTATTGTTTTTTATTAGAGTTATTATAGGGTCTATCGGCGATACCTAAAAAGTCCTTTGTTTTCTTTTTGCTGTGAATGCATTCTGTTATTTTGTATTTTGGTTTGTGGCTCTTGAATATCCAATTATCTATTATCTAAATGAAGAACATATGAGAAATATTGATTATTGTAATTAAGAAGGCAACAAATTCAATAAATAGTTAATTTAATCGAATGCAAAACAGCAAACCAAAAAATTCATTTACTGTCTTAATTGAAAACCGCAGCAACGTATTTATTTAAATGCACAAAATTTCATACTACTATATATAAAAATTGAATATGCAGCCTTGCTTACAACTCCTCATGATGAGAGGGAAACTTCTTGAGTATGGCATGATATAGATTGTAGAATGCATAAACCGAAACTGTGACAATCACAAGGAGGGCGCCGCCAAAGGCGATGCTCAGGAAATTGCCATCGATAATTCCAGCGGAGCGATGGCGTTTGGTTGAAAAGATTTCTTCGGTTGATGCTGGATTGTTCTGCTGCTGAGCTGTACGTTCGGCCATTAAGCGCTTCATGGTGCTTAGGCGTTCGCGTAAAACTTCCACGGATTCTGTGTCCAAATCCGAAGTACCTATAAACAAATACAGCGTCTAAAGTTTTCTTGTATATACTTGGGGTTGGTTTGGTCTTATTACCAGCTCCTTGTGTAGCCATAGTTAGAGCTATAATGAATAGGTGTGATGCTTGAAATATTATTATAAAGGTATTAAAAATGAAATGGCAGAGCAGGGTGTATTAGAAGAAATATAGAAACAGGCGCATGTGCATAACGGCCATGTATCGATTCGATAATTCAGTGCTGTAAAATGCGTCTTATACGATACCTTTCTGCTATCGTTAGTATTTTTTGGTCAAATTTAGGAAGAGTCCACAATAACATTGCAAACACGTGCAGTAGTACGCGCGCTGTGGACCTGTTGTTTTCTTAACTCAAATTTAATGATAAAATGGGTCTAACTAAACAATATTTGGCGTATCGCGCCATAGACAGTTTTAACATAATCGCTTCTGGTCGCGCCAATGTAAATTTCGCCGTACTTGAGAAGAGCGAGGGCCGTTTTGCTGCAGCTCCGGCAGCTGAGAATGTTATCATTTGGGATTTGCGGTAATTGTAATTTACTAATATGAAATATTCATTTAAAAACTCAAATATAATTTAGGATGGGCGATCGTAAGTTGACGCTACGCCGTGAAAAGCAAGAAGTCACCGCCTTGCGCGTCTCACCTGATCATCTACACATTGCCGTGGGCTATGCGGATGGCGTGGTTCAGATCTATGATCTAAGCTCACGCACTTATTACGATGCAATTTGCTCTTTGGCGCTACACAAAAACGCCGTCAGCGTGCTGCGHTACGACGCGCATGGTATGCGGCTAGTCAGCGGCGGTCTGGACACAGAGCTCGTCGTTGTAGATGTGGTCGAGCAGGCGGGACGTCAACGTCTGAGCGGCCACAATGCAGCCGTCACGGATGCGCACTTCTTGCAACGATTAGTCGAGCAGGACATTGTGGTTAGCTGTTCAAAGGATACACAAATCAAGTTTTGGAACTTGGAAACGCAGTTCTGCTTCAAAACTATCGTCGACAATCGCACCGAAATATGGGGCTTGGCCTTGATAAACGATTTAATGGTTGCTGGCGCTGGTGAGAGCGGTATGAATGTCTATCGACTGCGCAAGCGGGAAGGCAATGCAGCGCAATCACTGGAGAAAGCTGTCGAGGGCCTGGCCATAGATGACGAGGATACAATAAGTCCGYTGTCCGTCAGTAACTGCGGCACAATACAACGTGCGGGCAAAGGACGCACCGTAAATTTGGTGGTCGATCCCAACGAGCGTGTGTTAAGCTGTCACGGCACGAATGATCTTATTGAAAACTTTTACATATGCAATGCAGAGGAAGCCAAGCAACGACTGGCCAAGCGACTGAAAAAGGCGCGCAAAAAGATTCAGGAGAGTGGCGAGCAACAAGAGAATGAGGAGCATCTTTCCAAAGAGCTATCACTCAGCGATGAAATTAAGCGCTTGGAAAGCATCAAAACGAGACAGAAAATCAAATCTATTGATGTACTACTTGGCCAGAACCAAGAGCTCCGCGTGTTGGTCAGCCTGTCCAATAACAGCATGAGCCTGTACTCTCTCGAGGCTTCGCTCAAGTCGCGGAAGCCAAAGGCTAAGTCAAGTGAAACCACGGACAGCAGCGTTAAGCTTTTGCGTTCGCTAACA